TACACTACTGACTACCGTACACAGATAGATCACAGTTATGCAAATGTACCACAGCTTATTCAATCTGCAGGTACCTTGGAGTCATACTACAGTGATCATAAGCCCATCTTTATTTCCTTACTAACTGTTCACAAGTGACTTAAAAGAGAAACGTTATTAAAAGTATGTCCTGAAAAATACATTTGACCTATTTTTTTTAGAGTTTGTTGCTCACAATGATCAATCTTAGTCATAGCTACCATTGTTTGTTTTTGGTTTTTCGTCACATCTTTGATTTTTTCTACCTGTATAAGAACAATTAAATATTCTCTTTATTAAATAAGATTTTCTTCAATTTGGAACCAAGTTTGCATATCAGAAAATGACTTTAAATCTCATTATACATGGGCTGCTGTATACATAGTGTCCAATTTTCTAGCTACAAGACACAAAGAAACATTGCATGTTTATATAAGAAAAACACACTTGGTACGTGTCTGACATCCCTCCCCAAAACAAAGTGATCAACCTGATACAGAGGTGGGTAACTTCTTTGATTATAATGTCTGATAAGAGAGTGGGGTGTGGGTGAGCCAACAACTTTACTAAAACAATTGTTGTTAACACTTGTTGTATCTTCTTATAAAATTGCAGATCATTCTGAGCTTATATCACATACATTGGCAACTGGACTATGGAAACTACTAATACACTATAAGAAGTGGAATGATATACAGTCATGTAGTTACTTGCTCGTGGTAATTGACAGAGATGTACAGCACTGCAGCTGACTACATTCATTCTGGATTTAGTACCAGTTACTGTATCTAAAGCCACAAATAAATGAACAGTGTGAAAAATGCAAGCACAGCATCACTGGAGTTCATGCAGTTAATAGCACAAATTATATAGAAAGAAGTACATGTATTATATTTGTTGGAACTTTTTCTGTCTACTTCACTGAAAACAACGATGTGGTCTTGAGAACTTAACATCAAATAATGTATTCAGCAGCTTCCATCCATTCATTAGTTATATTCATACTAACACCATGAACTTCTATCATGACTATTTCAACTAGTAACAATAACGTTTTGTACAATAGTTGAATTGTAATCTGTACACTTTCAACTATTTGGACCCTGTGATTGCCTTCCTCAGAATTATTTGTTAAATAAATTGGCTTGTTAAGGCTTTGTATGAAGCACTGATACTGGCAAGTGCCAGTTTTATCTTATCGTAGTCATAATTACCACAACAAACCAGTTGATGTAAACCACCGTAAATGCAATCAATTTACTGCCAGACTGCTGAATAATCAAAGATTTGAGGAGAACATTTGATACTTTCAGTTAGCTTGAGTTCGCCTGATCTCATAGTTTGACCCTCCTTCATAGTAAATCTAGTAATTCCTTGTAAACTAATTTAATGCATAATGGCTTGAGTTGCCATTGGTAAACAACCAGTTTTACTGGCAGACATATTAAGTGATATTTCGTTTTTCAGTTCTAACAGAAAATCAAGAACTGTTTTGAATAAAGCTTTCGTCTTCCCGTTTATAAATTTCATGTAACACGAGATCTCCCCACACACTGATAAATTTGCATATTCACTTTGTAATCCGATCTGCATACTTGTTTGCACACGTGCGCAAAAATTTATTGATTTTTATCTTTGATCTTGATTTTAGAGTAAAAACTAAATATGCATCTATCGCTCTTTTCGTTGAAAGTAAGTTATTGAAATGGTCTTCTTTCACTTGAGCTTGTTTTTGAGAAAAGATGATTGAAAAAACTTTACTGCGCATTGTGTTTACTTTTCCGGTTTCTCCAAAATTTTAACTTTTGGATTAGTCTGGGTGCTAAAGTTATTCCGTGGGCATTTTTGGAAGAAAGCAAGCCAGTGGCCTAACATGGTTCACTAGACCACAAGGAATCTAAAAATCGTTGTTGACAATTTTGTTAAGCGATCAGACGGTAATTATGGGGTATTGAAAAAGGACCTACCTGATTCAGCATGGAAACGAGGCTGAGAGGCTACAAGGGGCCATTATTTCTCTCCAATTCAGTGAAACCCACCCAAATTCACCAGATACAACAAGTAAGCAACCCTGAAGCCAAAAAACTAGTTTATTTTATTAACAAGGGTCATGTGATCGATCTTCTTGGTTGCTCTGAAGATGTCCAACATCTTTGAAGGTCGCCGACCACTCTGTCCCCTGAAGTGCCTGAATGCTTAGTCTGCGAGGTAGGTGGTGAGTTCCATCTTCGTCTTCGTATGCGACAGAAGCTTCTTCATCGAAACTCTTGAGATGTTGGTGGAATCTGTGATTCGATAATAGATGGGATCCTGTCCTCCTTGCCTTTTCTCTCTGGTGGCTTCTTTTAACGACATGGGTAAGTCATACCGATCAAAAATCAGGCGAATTTCATCCTTCCTGCCATACTTCTGTTCGATTGTGTCGACGAAGTGAATAGCAAGCTGCTCGCAGTTCTTCACCCATTCCGGCTTGTCCTAGGCACTGGAGCTCTGCCATACCATCAATGATGAACACCTTCAAATGCGACTGAGCTGCATTTGTTGTTGTGCCGTCACTAATGCTTCTCTGATCGGCTGATCTGGATGGGAGCTTCTCTAATATGGCCATAAGCGCACTTTTAGCAGAGCAACGCAGCATGGATCCATCTGCCGCAAACATTGACCTGGGCACTAATGCAAACTCATACATTCCTATAGTCTCCTGGACGTTAATACCTGGGCGACTTCTGCATACCATCATCATCCTGGCAAACAGGGACCGGTCTTCCTGCAGCTCCACCACCGTCTCCTTTGTCGACACTTTCATCTTCTTTGCATTGGTTTTCCACGTGGAAAGCTTACGTTTGTTCATTGTAGACCAAATGTTTACCTTCTCAGATTGAATGCGTTCTTTGACAAATGTATCAAACAACGCCTGTCCTATAACAGCTTGACAGCTTGCACAGGTCTGCCTTGATGTTATCAGGCAATACCACTTTGGTAACAAGGTTGAAGAGATCAGAGCTTTCATCAGCAAAAGGGTTGGTGAAGGTCTCAATGGTCTCCATCAACGCTTTGATGTTCTTGTCTTCTCGGGAAAGTACAGCTGGCGTGTGGTTGTGATGTTGCGTTTGGATCTTAGGAGCTACTCCTGCCATATCCTTTGCTTGCCCTGAAAGATTTGCCATTTCTGGAGCAGTGAGAAAAAACTTGTTCCGTGCAGTTTGGTTAAGTGTGATTCCTACCAGCCCTCCGTGTACTTTCATCGAACGATTGACATGTTCGAGCGCATGATCTGCACCAAGTGCACAGAATGGTATGTTGGTGTTTTTGTTTACAACCCAGTTTCCCGAAAGGAACTCAGCGTAGACATCTGGATCGGTTTCGGGTAAGGAATCCATTTCTGCTAGATACAGTGGTACCATTCGTGCATAGTTCAGGCGATCATGCGCGAAGAAGTATTTGGTGAAGATCTGCAGGGCTTGAAGGTATAGTTTCCAGTCACCCATACGTACTGCCCTGATAAATTGAAGCATCTCCATTACCATGCGCATATACTGTCTTGTCACCTTGAACAACGGGTGTTGACCTCGCTTTGCGTCAAATTCTGCCACCTTCTCTAAGAGACGTTGGTTCTCAATAGCACTCATGAACTTAGTGTTTGCTTCCTTCAGTTCAATATTCGCTGCTTGTTTGCACACGTCAGCAACCTCTCTTGAGAGATCTGCAATATCCTTCGTATCTTCTTGCGAGCTCTCAAAGAATGCCTTCTGGTATAGCGCAAATAATGCTTCAAGAGTTACAGTATGGGCTACTTCACCTCTCTTGACATGGTTCCCATCGAGTATCTGTTTCACTGTCCCAGTGCCGTAGATATCAGCTTCAATCCAGCAAAGGTCGAGACCACTGTCTTCGATAAATGCTCCAATGGTGCGCAATTGAGCCATTACGACGTGAAGTTCTCCTGGACGGAGGATAAGATGTTGAAGATCATTTCTTGCCATCTGAAGCTTTTTTTTTTATGATAAAGCCCCATATCCAGAGAGATAACCGTTTTTCTGCCTGGACCAACAATGCTAGTGCTGATGTTCTGTGCTTGCATTAGAATAGTTAACAGGGTCGGCCATTCATGGGCTGGGGAGGGTAACAGAGGCGGCATTCCCACTTTCGTGACATCCATAGGGCTGCTAATGAGCGAGTTGAAGGCTGACCACACAGGAATTGTTTTGGAGCACGGTCCTCTTTCTTCTTGTAAATCTTCGTTTCTCTCTCTCAATGGTACTTCATCGTTTGCTTGTTGCTGACTTGAGAAGTTTCGGGCTAAGAGCCACGCAAAATCTTGCATATTGACAACAATGGAGATCTCATTTGGAGCAAAAAGCCCGAATGAAGGAAACACTGGACTTGTTGGTTTAGGAGTAGGACCAGGACATTCCATTATGGTTGTTATAGTTTCTGGCACTTCCTCCACTGATCTACTCTGATCTTTGGTGTCAACAAGCCTTAAAATGAACAGAATTGATAATTCCCCTATTTATTTAAGGTGAACGTAATACAAAGCGGGAATATAAGAAATATATTGGGACAGACCTGACTTTAAACCATTGCACTTAAAATTTTGTCCCCTGTTTGTTTTGAAGAAGGCAGATCTTACATGGACTAACAGCACCTGACTTTGTATTAAATATAGTAGCTGATGTCATGATTGCTTACCTTAACTCCTGCTTTTCATCTTGTGGATCTGTCCTCTGGTAGATTGCCATAGCAGTTCCATGGAGAGTGCGCTGTCCATCATATGTGTCTTCAGCAAAATCTACATTATCCACAGCAAAAAAATACATGGCGCCCCTTGACGATATCAGGCGGAAGGTAGACACCTCCATTTTCTTCCATTCGTTTCAGAACAGTAGCCTCTATCTGAGCTTCCACTCTCATCAACCTGTTGTACTCAACTGCCATTCCGAATCCATGAAGCATATTCACTAGCTCTTTGCTTCGGGTAA